GCCGTGTACACGCGGATACGACCACCATGCCCCGTGGAAAGCGCAGGGCCAACCAACACAAGTCAAATACAGGTAAGAAAACGTCCACCGGGTCGTACCACATTTGGCGTCGACAAACGAACGAGGGTTTTCCYCGCCGCKACCTGAAGTTTTCGTAGACGTCACCGATTGCGCGTGGTGAGGCAACGACATGCTTATTGCGTATTTTCGCGTTATTGTGGTGAGGCGGAGGAGGGGTAGGTCTCGCCATGTGCCCACCGCGCGCCGTTGTTGTGGCGCCACGCCGCGTTTTTTCCGCATGGCCTCGGAAAATACGACGCTGCCGATATTTTCGTCTTCCCGTTCGCAATATGATGCCCCCCGCCTAGTCTTCGACCGTCGCAATTTCGATGAATTTTTTTCTTCGTTTACACGGACGACCCTGAACATTGACGAAAATCAAGGTCCGCCGCTTGAATACTTCAATGATCGACTTGTTCCGTCCGTTTCGATTTCGGATCGGCGATTTTTTTACTAACGTTTTTCTTCGTCATGCGCACTCGTAAACTAATGCTTGTCGTCGACTATTGAAAAATTTTTATCTTAGATTTATTTTTAATACTCGTAAACTGAAACCGATGTTCGGCAACATTGGTCACTTACTACCGAGCTTCAACCCTTGCTTATGGGCAAATCAATAATACGAACGATAATGCATACCCATTTTAGTAGATACTTACAACTGTTCTATGAGTATTAAAATATTATGAGTGTGTTTTTGAAATGATGGACAAACTTAATGCACAATGTTCTAAACTAGTGCTTTGTGTAACTTTGGAACAAGGTACTAATGTACAACTCAAGTTGATATTCAACTATTATTTTTACATAACATTTTTATTAGACCTTTTTTTCCATTCATTAGTAGACATTATATTATATTAAGTATTTAATTGATTYTGATTTGACGTTTAAGTATAACATTATTCACTATTCAGTAATTTAATACCTAATTATTAGATACAAAATATTTTAGTTGGTAAATGTTATTCTTTAAAGCATCAAGCATAACATTGTTTGTATAATAACAAGGAGTAGCCAACCTAATTGATCTATTTAGGTCTTATATAATAAATTGTAAGGTCATATTGTTATTTTTTATAGTTTGGTCTACAGATAAATGTTTATTATCCTTTGATTTTGAATATATATTATGAATGTGTACTACTTACAAATAAATTAGTACCTATTTAATTATAATGTAGTTATTGACAATTTTAGTTATTGTTAAATAACAATAATTTCCTTTTTCCATTCTTCTTTAAACTTTAAACTATTAGGTAATTTTTATTTAGGTACTAATGTTCTATGTTTACTTATTATTTGTATTATAATAGCCTATGATTATATAGACATATTCAATGCTGCCTTTTACTGAAATAAAATTACAAATGTCGATAGTTCTAATAAGTCCTTCA